CCCTATCCCTCTCTTTCTGACTCATTCACTCAGCATGATACTCTCCAACTCCATCCATTTATAGGCAAATTTTATGACCTCATTTTTTCCCTAACAGCTGTGTAGTGTTCCATTGTGTAGCTGTACCATAGTTTATCCACTTGTCTGTTCTCAGGAACTCATATCCCTAGAAATGGTATAACTGGGTCAAATGGAAGTTTAATATCTGTTTTTTTTCTCCCAGGAATGCCTATATTGTTTTCTAAAAAAGCTGGACCAGGTGGCATTATCACCAGCAATGTATGAGGGTCTCTTTCTCCCCACAGCCATGCCAGCACTGGTTGTTCTTGTTCATTTATATGTGTGCCAGTCTCTGGAGTTAGGTGATATCTCATTGTTGTTTTGATTTGCATTTCTCTGATGATTAGTCATATTAAGCAATTTTTTCCTGTGCCATTCGAATTTTTTGAGGAATTCATTTCTGCTCCCCACTTTTTGATGGGTTTGTATTTTTCTTCTTATAAAGTTTTACCAGTGCCTTGTATATTTTTATATGAGATGGGTATTGGGTGAATAGTTTTTCTCATTCCATGACCTATCTTTGTATCTTGGTCACTGTTTCTTTTGAGGTACAAAAACTTAGTAGTTTAATGTAGTCACATTTGTAAATATTTGATTCCACTTTCTTGGTCAGTGGTGTGTCATCTTTGAAGATGTCAGGCTCCTTTTTAAGTTTAGTTGTTGAAGTTTGAATCTCTCATTTTCACTGTTGTTGACTCTGTGGCTTGCATATTTGGGTTTACTACTCCTCTCCACAACCCATGTACTTGGAACCCCTTGACCCCTGCTCCTCTTTGTGTCTTGCCTAACTTTTCTTTTCTCCTCAATAGCATTTCTTCTCTGCCTTCTCCTCCATATACTCTGGGGCCAAGTGTGATTTAGGCATTCTCCCTTTCAAACAATGTATTCCCCATCTAGTTATCCCATGTATCACTCATAAGTGAGAACACCCTGTGTTTGTCTTTCTTCTCTCTTACTTCATTTAACATGATATCTTCTAGTTCCATACATGTTTACAGTGAATTGCATTATCTAATCTTTAGAATATGAATGGACACATATTATTCTGTGTAAATAGCTTCTTCACAACAATCTTACATGTTTTCTACTGAGTTGTTATTTATGTTTCTTGGGTTAATATTAAAAGTTACTTACAAATAAAATTATCGAATTTTACTTCTTAAAATATGGCAAATGTTTTTTCTTGATATTTTGAGGTCTTAAAAAATTTTTGTCATTCGGATTTCTTCTTTGAGAAAGTTTCTGTTCATTTCATTGCCCCATTTTTGGATGGGGTTGGATGTTTTCTTCTTGTGGAGTTTAACCAGTATTTTGTATATCCTGGATATCAACCCCTTGTCAGATGTGTATTCGGTGAATATCCTTTCCCATTCTGTAGACTGTCTTTGTATTTTGGTCACTGTTTCTTTGCAGGTGCAGAAGCTTCTTAGTTTAAGATAGTCCCATTTATCTATCTCTGTTTTCACTTGCTCGGCCAGTGGCGTGGCATCTTTGAAGATACCATTAGCTTCAATGTCATGGAGGGTTTTGCCAACTTTATCTTCAATGTACCTTATGGTTTCTGGTCTGATGTTGAGGTCTTTAATCCATTTTGATCTTACTTTTGTACATGGTGTTAGGCAGAGTTCTGAGCCTATTTTTTTGCATGTAGCCGTCCAGTGATGCCAACACAATTTATTAAAGAGGCTTTCCTTACTCCACTTCACATTACTTGCACCTTTATCAAAGATTAGATGAGCATATGATTGAGGAGAGATGTCAGTGTATTCAACCCTGTTCCATTGGTCTGCAGTTCTGCCTTTGTTCCAGTACCATGCTGTTTTAATTATTACTGCTTTGTAGTACAGTTTAAATGCTCTACATCATTAATCATCAGGGAGATGCAGATCAAAACCACAATGAGATACCATCTCACACCCCAGAGACTGGCCCACATCAAAAAGAACAAAAGCAACCGATGCTGGCGTGGATGTGGCGAGAAAGGGACACTCCTTCACTGTTGGTGGGAATGTCCACTGGTTCAGCCCTTCTGGAAAACAGTATGGACGATTCTCAAAAAATTAGAAATTGAGCTCCCATTTGACCCAGCAATACCACTCCTGGGAATATATCCCAGAGAGGCAAAAATGTATAGTCGAAGTGACATCTGCACTTGTTTGTTCATTGCAGCCCTCTTTACAATAGCCAGAAACTGGAAGAAACCTGAATGCCCAAGAACAGATGACTGGTTAAAGAAACTTTGGTACATCTACACAATGGAGTACTATGTAGCTCTTAGAAAAGATGAAGTCATGAAATTTACATACAAGTGGTACAATATGGAAAGTATCATGCTAAGCGAAATGAGTCAGAAAGAGAGGGATAGACATAGAAAGATTGCATTCATCTGGGGGATATAAAGTAACAAAGTACGAGATTAATACCCAAGAATAGCTGAGATCAGCACCAGGAGGATTACTCCATAACTTAGAGGCCAGCCGGGTATCCTAGAGGAAAGGGCTATTCAGATAGAGAAGGGAGCACCAAATAAAGGATGTTTGGAGGATCCTCCCAGGAGGGGAGATGCATGTCGAAAGTAGACTATGGACTGAACATGTTTGCCACTCAATGCCTCTTTTGCAGACCAAAACACCCAAAAGGAGAGAGAGAACACAGGGGATTGCCCTGCCACAGAGACGGGGGGATGGGGGGATGGGGGTGGGAGGGATATTATCCATGGTGGTGGAAAATGGGCACTGGTGGAGGGATGGGTATCTGATCATTGTATAATTGAAACCAAAGCACAAAAAATTGTAAATCTACAACTTTAAAAAAAATAAAATAAAATAAAGGGGAAAAAAAAAAAAAAAAAAAAAATTTTTGTTACTACCATCTCAAGAAAAAGAATAACCTAATCGCATATCTGCTTTCCAAGGGGAATCTTTATTTATTAATCTAAAACTAGATAGAGATTTTTATTCCATTGAAAGGAAGTTGAATACATATTTTGGCGATTGTATATAGTGTTGAAGTATACATAGGGGTGCAAATATCTTTTCTAATTAGTATCAAATATGGAAAAAACCTCAAATTCCTATGAACAGATGACTGGATAAAGAAATTGTGGTACATATGCATAATGAAATATTATGAAGACTTAAGATAAAATGCAATTTGCTGCAATGTTGATGGATCTGGAGAGTATCACATTGAGTGAAATAAATCAGAGGGGGAGGATCAGACTCAGAATGACATCTCTCATATGAGGGATACAAGGAAAACCCTGTAGAGGGTAACGATCAAACATGCAATGACAACAGAAATGAAAAGCAGGATAAATGGTCTTCATTAGGAAGCTTGGCACTGGGACAGGGGTGAGGGGGACAGTAAGGGAAGGGAAAACTAGGACCACTAGGGGAGGGGAAAAGTGCCAACCACAGAATCACAGAGGCAGACTGAGGGTTGGGAGGGAAATTGGGGACATTGGCAGAGGGAATGGTGCTAGAGCATTGTATGTCTGAAACTCAGTCATGAATATCTTTGTAATTCATGGTGATTCAATTAAAAAAAAGATAAAAATATCCCACAAGGAAAGTTGGATATTCTTTCATTAGAGAACAAGGAAGAAAGACATTTCACCTATCAGGAAGAAAATTTTTTAATCTTTTTGGGTTGCCCATCCAGGATTACATAAAGCAGTGTTTAGTCCCTTACCCTAATTCTGAATTAATCAGGGCAAAGGAAGATGGAAAAATACTTAACCCTAACCCCAATACAAACCTTAACCTTGACCCCATATTACGTTAGCTTAGGTCTAAACCTACAAAATAGCATAAATTTTATCATTGCTCTCTAAATAATTTTGGCATTTAACTAAAAACAGACATACATAGTCCTTCATCATAACCTAACTCCATTTTTAGTTCTGATCTTAATCCTACGGTAAGTAAAGTTACTATAGTTTGAATTTCTCATTAGCCTAAATTTGACAATCCCTCCTATAATAACATTGTTATTTAAATTTAAACAGAGAAACCTAAAGAATAATCTCTAACAAACCTAATCCTGGTGCCAATGCTAACATTAACCTAACCCTGTACTAACCTGACCTGAACCTAGGCTGATACCTATCAGTTAGCCTAAAATTAAAAATCATCCTACAAATAACATTGATATTTTAACTTTGAAAATATCCCAACATAAAACCTAATCTTATTATAAAACCTTCTCTAACCATAATCCAAATGTAGACCCTGATCCTAACTCTAAATTAATCTTAGCCTACATAGGTCTACACCAACCACTTAGCCTAAATTTAACTATTGCCTTACAAAAATAACTTTGATATTTAACTTTGAAAACAGGCAAACATGGACCCTAATTTTATTCTAAAGGGCATTTGGGAGGTTGTTTCCAAAAATGTTACTCTTTATGTATAGTCTTAGATGAATGAAAACATTTTTGATTCTACACTCCTATTTGATTTATTTATTTGTTTGAGGTATGTGTGTGCACAATACAGGTGCAGTTTTTCTCCATTCAAGCTAGCTCTAGTTTGACCACATGAAACTTTAAACTTGACCATATAAAGATGTAGGGGAACTTGGTGAAAGTATACTAGGAGTTGACTATTTGCTTCTTCTCAGTCATTATTATGATGAAAACTGACAAAAAATATCACAAAGAACTTAAGAGACTACTAAAATAAAAATTTTCACTGGAATTTTCCATTTTTTTTAAATTAAAGCACAATGATTTATGGAGTTATTCATAGCTGAATTTTATGCATACAATATTGTAGCACCAATCCCACCACCAATGTCAGTCTCCTTTCCCCCTAGTGTTCCCAGGTTTCCTCAATATCTGCCCCCACCTCCACCCCAACCTGTCCTCTTGACAGACACCTTTCTAAGTTTTACTGTTAAAGTTTGTGTCTCTTGATTTCAGAGTTGTTGACTCTTAAAATTATGAAATGCTTCACCAACTTGAGTGTCATCCTTGCTCAGGGACCGTAATAATCTCTCTATATGATTCCAAATTTAGCACATGTGCTTTGAAAGCAAGCAGTATCAAAGTAAGATTTTAACTAGAAGATTACATGAAGACACGATCAATGTTTTTTCCAAGCTATAAAGAAATCAATTGAATGTCAAGATTGTTTTCCAGTTAGCCATGCATTTTCACAGCAGGTTTGTTGGAAATTTTGCTAGGAATCTGAGCTCCAGCAGTGCTTCTAATCTTTTTTGACAAATTGACTCACTGGCTTGGGTTTTGGAGGTATAAAGCACCAACAAGTGTTTAGTGAAACTCTACCTAGCTTGGAGCCTACTGAAGTCTTTTCAGAAACATCCCCTTGATGTCAATCTGCAAGTATAGCTTGCACTATAGTGGTCAGCAAATTCCAAGTTTGCCTGAGGTGAATAGCCAGTTCATCTTTGAGTGAAGTTGATTTCCGTAACTTTACTGCTCTTAAAAATTCAGTGAGTTCTGTGAAAGGAGAAGACAAATTTTTGCCCCATAAGAGTTTATATTCTATATGAACTCTGAAGTAGCTTGGAAATGGTTGTAAATTTTGTAGCTCTTACCACTTCGTCAAGGATGAGCTCAAAAAAAGGAGAGCAGAGGTGCTGGTAGATGCGGCAGAAGCTGGGAAAAGCATTCGTAATGCCCGCTTGTCCTTCACCAACTACAAGACCAAGATGACTGCCCTCCGACATCCTGGTGGATCTATCACATCTTCCAGAAGGGCAATGGAGAAGATTATTCATGACTTCCACTCAAATCTCTTTAATAGCCACGCCCACTTGCCCACATACCACATTCCGCATGATGGATATGTCCTTCCCAATGTTCTCCCTTCTGAAATCCAACATGCCATCTCATCGGTAAAGAAACAAAAAGCACCTGGCCCAGACAAGATCAGACCTGAACATCTGAAGAACTTACCATCAGTACTCATCAATACACTGGCTCGGCTCTTCACACACTACCTGTCTGAATGCAAGGTTCCATCCCAGTGCAAAACCAGCAGGACTGTACTACTATATGAGAAGGGAGACATCCATGGCATTGGCAACTATCGCCCATTCTGCCTATTGTCTGTCATCTACAAACTGTTCACTCGTGTCATCCTGAATAGGATTAGCAGAACACTAGATGAAGTCAACCACATGAACAAGCCAGGTTCCAAAAAGGATTCAGTACCATCGGCCATATCCACACGATTACTAAGCTCATTGAGGTTTCTCAGGAGTTCAAGATGCCGCTCTGTCTAACGTTCATCGATTTAAAGAAGGCCTTTGATTCTGTTGAGACGGAAGTGGTCATAGAAGCCCTAGTCAATCAGGGCATACAAACTCAATACATCAGGATCCTTTGTGAGCTCTATTATGGATTCACTACCAGGATCTCACCATTCTACAAAGAAGTAATCATTGATGTCAAGAGAGGGGTTCTGCAGGGTGGTACCATTTCACCAAAACTCTTCAGTGCCACCCTCGAGAACATCATGCGACGACTGGAATGGGAAGGATTTGGAGTGAAAATAGATGGTCGGCAACTACACCACCTCCACTTTGCTGATGACATCGTTCTAATAACACCAAACCTCAGCCAAGGGGCACAAATGCTGAACGACTTCAACCGTGAGTGTGGAAATATCGGACTGCAACTGAATCTTACGAAGACAATGTTTATGAGAAACAGGCTCGTTTCTGATGCTCTATTCGCTCTCAACAGAACCACCATCTCCGAATGCAACAGTTATATATACCTAGGTCGAGAAATCAACATGATGAATGACCTGGCACCTGAGTTGTGCAGGAGGAAGAGAGCGGGTTGGAATGCCTTCAAGAGCGTTGAAGAAATAACTAAGAGGACAAAGAACCTCCAGCTACGAGCACATCTCTTCAATTCCACTGTTCTTCCTGCATTAACATATGCGTCAGAGACCTGGACCCTACGAAAACAGGATGAGGAATCGAAAGAGTTATGCTTGGAATACCACGATTCACTCAAATGAGAGATAGAATCTGGAGTTCTGATCTTCGTCAACACTCAAGACTCAGGGACGCTGTCTCATTTGCCAAGGCATCAAAAATCAGATGGGCTGAACACGTAATGAGGTTTACAGACAACCACTGAACTAGAGCCATTACTAACTGGATTCCACAGGACATCAAAAGATTGCATGGGCGCCCACCTACAAGATGGTCAGACTTCTTCGTCAAGACCCTGAATGATCGGTTTGAGGCTCTGCATCTAGAACGAACAGATGCCATTGGGCTACGGTAGCATGCAACAGGGATGAATGTAGACGTTACTGGCACCCACTCGAGTAAATCGATGAATAACGGGGGATCAAGTGATCAAGTGATCAAGTGACCTCTTCATCAGGGCTGATTTGTAGATGTCCAAATTATCTAAATATTTCTTAGAAGTCTTCCCTTTCTGCCTCCAGTTTATTGTAATTTCTAATGTTCCTAAGTTTGATTATTTTGTCCTTTTCTAGATATGCTTCCCATGTTTAGTTTTCTATGCTCTACAATTATCTCCCACTTTTGATGAGAAACTATTTCCCAAGTCTTTTATTTTTTGATTTAAAAATAAAAATTGGACTGGAGTGACAACACAAAGGGTAGGGTGTTTGCCTTGCATACGGCCAACCTGGGTTCAATTCCCAGCATCCCATATGTTCCCCTGAGAACCGCCAAGAGTAATTTCTGAATGCATGAGCCAGGAGTAACCCCAGTGCTCACTGGGTATGATCCAAAAAGAAAACAGAAAGTGACATTGTGATTTCTTCGCTGCTGAAACTTACTCTTGTTTCCTGGGGTTTGCATTCCATTAGTGCCTTTTTCTTTATTTTTTTTTCTGGAAGAAATGAACAACTATTATTTATTTCTAATTTATTTCTATTAAAACACAATGATTTACAAAGTTGTTCAGAAAACAGTTGTTTTAGACATATAGTGTTCAGTACATCCAGAGTGATCTTCAGCCATGTCCCCAGCTGCCCTCTCAACCCCAGCCTGTCTCCTTAGGGACATAACAAATTTACCTCATATTGCTTGCTCTAACAAAACTTAAATGGAAAATAGAATGACCAGAAAATAAATCAGTAAAAGCCAATTTGTGATTGCTATATGAATTTAACCTAGGTGAATAATAAAGTTAAAACCATTTAATACAATATAAATAAATACAATAAAATGACTATTCTCTTTTACTTAAGTAAGTTTTCAACTCTGGAATCTAAAACACATTGTGCTAAATTTTATGTTGTACTTGGATCTTATTATGATTTTAATCAGGTCTTACCTGTCATAAAAATATTGAAAAAAACCTCTGTGCTAATGTATTTTAGAATTTATATGAAAAGGTAAGGCCTATGTACATTAAAAAAATTCCCACACTTTATTTAAACACTGTTGTTTACAAAGTTGTTCATGATGATTTGCAATAGGCATTTAATATTTCAACACCAATCCCACAAAAATGATCATTTTCTCTCTACCATTGCCTCCATTTTCCCCAGCTACTATTCAAGCCCTGTAGCAGGCCCACAATAATTTATTTTATACTTCTTGTTACCAAATAATTGCTAAAAGAATGATCAAAAAGTATTTTCTTAGAAGAAAATTAGTGGAAATTGTATGTCATTCGAGATCTTAAGTGCTTGTCTGAGAGATTACTAAAATGTTGTTACAAGACTTCTGTGTTAATGGTGTTGATGTTTTGTTAGCTGAGATTGGTTGGTTTTTACCTTATGCCCCACTCAACTTGGTGTGCTACTACTGTATTGCCAGTGTTGTAGTTTAGAGATATCGCTCTAGGAATTCCAGAATTTTTTTTATTAGTGAAACAGCATGAGGTATAGTTATAGACTTACAAATTTTTGTGCTTGGGTTTCAGTTATACAATGATCAAGTACCCATCCCTCCACCAGTGCCCATCCTCTACCACCACGGGTCCCAGCATCCCTCCCACCCTCCATCCCCCCAATCCCACCCTGCTTCTGTGGCAGGGCATTCCCTTTTTTTCTCTCTCTCTCCTTTTGGGTCCTGTAGTTTGCAAGAGAGGCATTGAGTGGCAATCATGTTTGGTCTATAGTCTACTTTCAGCACGCTTCTCCCACCGTGGGAGGATCCTCCCAACACCTTTTATTTGGTGCTCTCTTCTCTATCTGAGCTTCCTTTTCCCCTAGCACATGTGGCTGGCCTCCAAGTCATGGAGCAAAATTCCTGGTACTAATCTCGGCCACTCCTCGGTGTTAGTCTAGAATTTTTAACTGGGCTGTTCACCTGGAGTTAAATTTTTAATCGGGTAGCAGTTTGGGGGTGTAGGCATGATTTCTGGGGCTTCCAGAAATACAAGGAGGTGAGAGGAAACAGGCCATCCTGACTCCAAAGAGGACTCAGTCACAGGGACCTCTGTACCTGAGTTTTCTTCAGGTTAATTTTTCTGTGAGGCTCAGCCCTGAGGTGATGGAGTCCATCCAGAGGTATTATGGTGACATTGGAGTGTGGGAAGAAGTGGATGCTGAGACTTGGTTTGGGTGGGCACTGGCCCATTCCCCTCCAAGGGTGCCCTGGATATCACAGGCAGGAACGGATGTCCTAGAAATTTTACGACTAGTTAATTTCTTTCGAGATTTATTTATGAGTCTCTGGAAGAAAGCCAGTAGATGAGGTTACATGGTGGTGGAGGTGGTTCATGAGTGTGACTGCCAAAGGAGTGCTCTTTAACTGCATGTTAGGAAAGAGTAGAGAACTACTCACTTCTTTGACAATGTCTGTGATGACTCAGCAGAACCAACCCTGGAGACAAAAAGCCCTGGAGAGAATAAGCACTGTGAAGTACATCTTCAGAGCCACAGTGTCTCGCCTCTGGGCAGGAAGAGACATAGCTAGTTACCCTGGAAGGCAGACAACAGTTACCTGTTGCTGCATAATAAATCTCCCCAAAATGAAATGGTTTAAAATAAATCATTCATTATCTGTCAGTTTCTATGGGTGTGACATATAGGTTTGTTTTTGCCAGGGTCTCACGGAGTGAGCAATAA